CCAATTCCTCTGGAAGAGCAGGTGGGATTCTTAAGCCAAGTCCCTTCTCTAGCCTCTGGGGCTGAATTTTAAAAGTTGCTAAGTAAGGATAGAACTGAAAAAATTTGTAATGCAAATTACAGTCAGCTGCTTTCTTTCCATTTTCCTGTTTATCGCTCTACATTAAGTCTCCCCAAACACTTACAACCTTGCCAAAGAGAAAGTAGGCCTATTAAATTATAGTTAAGGAGCACATACTTCAAAAGACCATTTCATGCATGTTCTGGACACTAGCAAGCACCTGTGAACAAGATGGGGCTTATTCTGGAACACGGATATAACTTGTGTGAACGCATACAATAGTAGCCTTTGTAATTACTCTGCTGGATACAGCCAGCATTTAGGAAGGAGAGGAAGTTTATACAAGAATCCTTTTCTGCTGTGGTGTGCTTATGTATGTACATGTCTGTGGGCAGGGATATGTGCCTGTGGTGGGTCAAAGGATGACTCTGGGCATCCTGTTCTCTCAGTCACTGCCTTATTCTCTTAAGACAAGGTCTCTCCTTGAACTTGAACTTGCTTTTTGGCTTGGCCAGCAGTCAGTAAACCTCAGGATTCCACCACCCCCCCCCCCCCCGTTATCGAAGTGACAGGCACGCACAGCCGCACCTGTTTTTTTTTTTTTTTTTTCTGAAGGTGTTGAAGATCTGAATTCAGGTCCTCTTGCTTGCTGGGCATACTCATACCAACTGACTCAGCTCCTCAGCACCCATGACCCTACTCCTGCCAGACTCTTACAATGCATTACAATAGTTATACATATTTACCTTAAGGGTTAAAACATTAAAGAGGAATTGGCATATTACGTTCTATTATATATTTTGTTTTATATTATTTATATAATGTATAGATAAGGACTATTTTAAGCTATAATGAAATTTTATTGTAATCTATTTTTTGGTGTTTTTCTCTTCACTGTGCTCCCAGAAGTTTTTAGTATATTCCACACTGCTTAACAGTGGGGTCAAGGTGCTGGTACAAATGTCAGTTCCATTCTGGATAACTTCACAGAGCACTTAGCTTGCCAAGTTCCCTCTCCTGCCTCTGGGCCACACTTGTGTGCACCTCACAGAGTGTGGTGAGCCTTCAAGTTGACCATCATTCACAGGGGCTCTCTCTAATTATTATGCCACACTGATGAACCTGCTGACATGCCTTTTCAAATTTTAATGTTTTTATTCATGCACATGTATGTGTCTGCATGAGCATGTTTGTATGTGTGTTAGCATGAGTGTATGCACTTGTGTGTTTGGGTGTCCAGGGAGGCCAGAAGAGGGCTTTGGATCCCTTGCAGCTGGAGTTACAGGCACCAGAGAGCAGCCCCACAGGAAGCTGGGTCCTTCTGATAAACAGGAAATGCTCTTTCCAGGCCCATGAAGCTTCTGATAGCAAGTAGATGTGTAAAACTGCACTTGGTCCTTCTACTCATTCCTCCTCTTGTATCTTTTTCTAGTTTCACTTCTTAGTGGAAAACAGTGAGAACAGCGACAGCTGGCTGGTTATGCAGAAGGGGACATGAATCCAAGGCTCTTGACAGAATCACAGCAGCTTGTATGTGGCGTTCTTGTTCCCTTGTAAGAACCGATCATTTTAAATTAAGCTTCAATTGGCAGAACTTCCACGACTTAGGACAATTTGAACGTTTGGTATTTTGTTTCATACTTAAAACCCACACCTCCCCACCCCAGCCATGGTACCCCTGTCCTGCTTACAACACTTGAGACTCCCTTTAAGAGATGTGACCTTTGAGTTTTGAGTTTTCCAGGTCGTCTCATTTATGTCCACCTCCCGCGGCATGGTTTTGTTGCTTCAGCTTGGCGGGATGCCCTTGCACAGAGACTTACCTTTAAAGAAAGGGACTCCACAGAAACTGCCGGAATCCCCTGCTCCTCACCACTGTGCAACAGCACAGAAGAGGTCAGCTTGGGTTCCAAATGGAACAGGACGTGGCTGGGGACTCAGGTCACGGAGGGAGGTGCTGCTCTGACACGCCTCACTCGCCACCCTTCCACTGTGTGTAGAAGTGTTTATGCACTATGAAATGCTCAGCCAGAGCATACAGGAAACCGTAAAAGATTTTATGAGACGTATACATGGTTGATGGGAGAACTTAAAATGCAGCCTGGGAAGATATTATCTGGGTCCAGGAGAGCAGATGAGAGAACACACTCTCTGTAGTGATTTACTTCACATAGGGGGTTATACAAGCCTGAAAGCAATTTTGGAATTATATTGAAAAAAATTCAAAATTTGAACTTACAGTTTTTAGACAAATAAACTTGTTTTCTTTCAGACCACAGATCACCAGTTATGTTTACTGATCTTCTATGTGGTAAAACATTGAATGTGGGTTGTTTATTACTTTTTAAAAACAAAAAACAGACAGGGACAGATGAACTATATAGACTGTTTGAAAATATTTGAACTTCTGATGGTTTTTAAATAAAAACCTTGGTCCCTAAAATTGGAACAAATTTTTGAATCTCAGCTATTATCATGTGAGAAGGCAGAAAAGGTCAAGGGCATGCCTCTAAAGGGAGGTTCCAGAAAGTCACACTTGTAAACTTAGGTGGTGGGAGGGGTATTTTTGTTCCCTTTACCCTTAGTCTAAAGGGCAGTGTCAACTTCCCAGAAGAATCGTTCTTTATTGTTTGTGGGTTTATTTATTTTCAAGATTGCTCTCTAAGATACAAGGGAGTAACACCGGTAATAAAAACTCACCCCGAAGCTGTGTATTCATACATGATTTAGAGTTGAGCCCCAGGTATAGAAAAGTGTCATTTACTAGCATCGTCCATTCAGATTTCATTATTATGGCTTGACATTTATGTTGTAGGGTGTATCTACAATTAGTATCCTATTGTGTGGGGTAAGTTCTTTGTAATATTCCAATGTAAATACAGGGTAATAAAGTGTGGATTGGGCTGAGAATGAGGGGCCACAGGCTATCATGCATGGTCTCTTCTCACCATTGATGAGTGATCCAGGCTCTTTTTCATCTATCAAGTGTGTGACAATTCTCAACACCTCTCATAGCTGTCTCCTCTAGCTATGGTAATATGTGACACTCTAATCTTAGGAGACTTTATTGTAGTGTCATCTCTGAAATTTTCCTTCTGTTGAACTGTATCTATATAACTGTTCAGAAAATTTTGTTTTACTTCAAATTTAGTGTTGTTTTAAGGGTAAGGGAAAGAACTCAAGTGTAGGAAAGAAAAAAGAATTAAAATGTTGATACTGAGCAATTATGGGCACATCTAGGCTGGTTCAGGACAGACACAAACCTTGTTTTATTCTAAATTCAGCTTTCTGGCTTATGATGAAAAGTGAAAGGTATTATATGAACTCGCTGGGCAAAACCAGATTTTATAAATAATTACCTGTCAGACGGTTCGAGATAGACAAACATACACCAGACCAACAAAAACACAGAGCTGTCGTGTTTCTGAGAGGAATGTACATTGAGTCTTCCTTCCCTGGGACTACAAGGAGATTAGGCAGAATGACATGAAGGCGGGAAAACAAAGCCTTGCATTTTCTGCCTTGTGCTACTTTCAAATATATAATGTGGGACAGAGATGGGTTTAGAATAGGAAAAATTAGCCCCTGAAAATTTCAGATCTTCTACAAGCCTGGCAGATGGAAACCAAATACAGTAAATGCTGCCATTTCCAAAGTAAGTATGTTTACTGCAGGGTTATAATTTTCCATGATTAGGGATGCCAAGGAAAATAAGAATGATGATAAAAAGAAAAGTTTAATCATACTTTTCAACGGGCATGGGGGGAACATCAAAACCCTTTGGCAATTTTTGATATTAAATATCTGCATTTTTCCTACCATGTACATCCCCCCACCCGAGAATGATTAGTACACATCAGGTAAATGACAGTGGTGAATGCAGACACAAACATGTTGAGACTCAGTAGGGTTCGTTCACACAGAAAACGTCTGGTCTTCTTATTTCTCTCTTTTACCCGAAACTCTTACAGAATTGAAGACATAACTTCCTCCTTTGCAATTCATATTTAATCAGGAACTGTACCATTGCATGCGCTATATTTTGGGTTGTTCCCAAGAGTTACACTTCTTCATTTACTAGAGACAGGACAGATGCCAGAAGGGCAGCTCAGCCACTCCCAGCAGGCAGGGTATCAACCCGGTCCAGACCAGAGGGAGAGCTCTCAAGGGATTCAGTGAATCCTAGAATCCTTTGGCTCTTGTTTTACTTTGTTTCTGAAAGCGCATGGAAGCTATGAGTGTGTGTGAGTGTATGTGTATGTGTGTGTGTATGAGTGTATGTGTATGTGAGTGTGAGAGAGTGTGTGTGAATGTGTGTGTGAGTGTATGTGTGTGAGTGTGAGAGAGTGTGTGAGCATATGTGTGTGAGTGTGTGTATGTGTGTGAGTGTGTATGTGTGTGAGTGTGTGTATGTGAGTGTGTGTGTGATGGCTTGTGGGAGGATCAACTGGAAAAGGGGAAGTGAAGATGGATAAGGCAAGTTCCGTGAAGTGAGCGGGTGACGGGAGCAGAGGGGAGCAGGTGGCTTGTCCTGCCAGGTGACCCTTCGATGGGTCTATGTCTGTAATATGACTACATCTCTCAAATAACACAAAGACTGTCAACAATGCTGGAAAGTACAGTTGGTGGGTCAATGGAAGACTGACTCATTTTGTCTCAAATCTGAATCATAAAAATGCATCATATAAAAGGCAGACTAAACACTGGAGGAAAAAAAAAGCACAACACTGCTTTTAAGATTTACGAGCCGAGGGCAGCAAATGCGTGCCAGATTCAAAATTCAAATTGTGTGATGTGCATTCTTGTCCACCTACACACCATCCCCAACATCCTGCCATTTAATTAGGCCAATGGCCATTCAGTAAACAAAGCTAAGGAGCCTGGGGAAGAGCTGGAGTCAGAGAGCTGAGAGGCAACAAACCAGGCCACTCCCCAGGGCAGAAGGTAAACTCATATTTTATTTTCAGCCAGGACGGGGAAGAATGACCTTGGTGTACCATTTTCTCTCCTGCAGCAGGCACAGCCATGGTCCCCTCAGCAGGCCAGGAAAGCCATCCCACTCCTTCGGTAGGCGCTCTGTCAAAGACAAAGAATCTGCAATGAATTATCACATCAAGTCGAACATGGAGACAAAGCAGAGACTTTCCTTCCTGTTTTGTAGACTTCTGGCTGCAAGCTAATAGGATGCTTAATACGAATAGTTCCGGTGGCACAACTCTCTCGGGCATGCTGTCTGTTAAGTCGGTGTGGTTAACAAGTGGTTAGGAGTCTATTTTGGGGGAGTGGGTGATATGCAAAATAAGGCATCCCGTTTTGTCCTGTTAATGGAAGCCAAGGAAGGGCTGTTCTGGGTCTGTTTGTCTTTCGCAAACATGTGTTCCCTATTCCACATGCTCCCCAGTCAGCTCTAACTAAGCATTGCCATAGTCTATAAATTAGTGACTCACTACTGTCTTCCCAGGCCTAGTTTACAGTCTGGAGGGGAGGTCTTTCGTCCTCTCCACACCGTGGCGACCTAAAGGCATGCTGCACTTTACTGGCAGTATGGAAAACTGGAGGCGTATCTGTAGACGCACATGGAGGCAGACATACAGATGCTCATGGTAGGATAAATCGCTACTTTCAAAACCAGACACTGGTTGTGGTAACACAATGTATTCCAGGTAAGGAAGGTAGCACTGTGCCTTTCATCTCCTGCTGAGGAGTTTGCATTTTGGAGTGGGAAGAGCAGGCCGATGGAGGCCTCTCATGACTTCTGGAATCTTACTTTGTGTTGAAGAGGAGTATAGCTAAGAGTCGGGACAGCCAACAACCCCTCACTGGTATGTAACATACCAATTACTGGCAACAGTCACATTCATACCTTCAATTTTTTGATAATGTGTTTTTAGAAAAAGGGACAAATGACAAAAGCCTCAACTTAGGGCCTCTTGCCCTCTGAAGTCAGCAACTCTGGGGTTAGCCTGGGGTCTGTGTACTTTACTATCAGCAGTCACCTTGTAGGAAGTTATCACAGAGGCAGGCAGGCAGCCAAGATGGCTGAAGAGACGTCCTTGAGTATAGCTAGCTGTGCCACCTAAGAGACAGGACGAGGGTGAAACTCTGAAGATCAGCAAGGAGCCCAGAGAAAAGAAGACAGTAAAGTACACCTTCAGCCCCTCCAGGGCAGGGGTGAAGACGCAGAAGTGAGAAGGCCAGCAACAACTGGAATAGCAGCCTGGCCAAGACCTGTTCTCACTCAAAGATGGAACTCCCTTGCCCAGCCCCTCCTCAACCCCCTGACACCATAAGAGGACTTGGGCTGTTGTATCTTTTACTGGGCGGAAGACAGCCCTTTCGGTGTCCTGTAGCTTCTGGACCATAGACTGTGACAGTCACAAGTCTCAGTTCATGCTTGCCTGCCTCATGGCACCCTCTAAAGGTCTTCTTTTCAACCCACAGCATTGGGACTGTGGCTGCTGTTATAAACTTCAGGCTCTGTCTATGCCTGTCCATTGGGATCCAGGAAAGTTCTAGCTCATTGCACAGCTCCAGGAATGCAGCTGCCAGCATCCCAACCTCCAGCACCTCTGTGTACACCCAGATGAAACTAGGGCAGGTTGATCTTCCAGGCTGCAGCCTGCTCCTGGCTGCCATGGGCAAGTCACAGCCATGTCTTGCAGATACAGAGCTGTGGTTATCTGTGTTTCAAACCTTGTCCCTAGCTGAGCTTTCTCCATGTAACGTGAGGACAAGCCTGTCTGTAAACAGCAAAATCACATATCTCAGACAACTGTGTTCAGCCCATGGGGGGCTAGTGAAGGTCTCCTCCATGTGTGTGGATACATATGTCATAAGCCCAAATGTTATATGCATAGGTCTGTCTTGGGAGACCTACGGGTGATTTCTTCCATAGTCCATTGCCATTGGACCATAGCTGGTGACAAAAACCCTGATGATATTATGTACATCCTTTGGGGCCAGGAGATGGTCCATGGTTCTGTGAAGGTGTCTAACAGTGTTACTAGTCCCATTCCCAAAATACATGCAGGACCTAGGGTAAGTCTTGTCTGTGTTGTACAATCTTGAGCCCATGGTTACTAGTGCCAGAGATGCCAGGATCATCTGTAGTCATCCTGTGGGACCTGGGGAAAGTTCAATCATGCCCTATGGCTTCAGAGGACACAAGCTGTGACATCTCCCACACTCACCCTGAGAGTCCTTCACATACTGTGACATGGAGACTCTGAATATTGATACCATAAGCATGTGTGTCTCCCGTGATTCCTCCCAGGTACATATTCCACACCATTACAGCTATGACAATGGCCACCACAAGTCCTGGTATTAGCAGTGTTTGATTTTGCTAAGTCTAAAGACGCACACCTTTGAAACCCTAAGTTTATTGCTAAGTCTTACAACTACATTCATAAAATGTTTTACCAGCAGCTATAGTTTAGATTATGGACGACATCAAAGACAAAGAAATGACACAGATGTTTGGAGCTCCAGTATAACCAAATTCATAGTACTGATCTGTCATCTGACATCCCATTTAAATGAGAAATAAAACAAAAACAAAATCTCAAAACTCCCCAGAACAGTTATTTCATTAAATTAGAGGTGATTGTAAAGCCAGATGTACAGACATCAATGTAGGAATACTGATAACATGACAGGAAATATGACACTTCAAAGAAATAGTTATTTACAATAGATTCCAATTTAAAGAAAATCTATAACAAACCCTTAAAAAATCCAAATTTAATGACCCTAAGTAAACTTACTAGATAAAAGAGAATACTGATGCATACTATGAAGAAATCTAAAAAATAACTTAGGATACTAATGAGAAATTCACCAAAGGCATAGAAATTATAAAGGAGAACTACCTGGAAAGTTTGGAGCTAAAACTTTAATTAATGGAATTAATGATAAAGCAGAGAAGTTACAAAAAGAATAAACAGAACAAAGAAAATTTCTGAACTCTAGAATTGACTTATTCAGCTCAACAAAACAAAACAAATCAGATGAAGAAAGCCCACAAAACCTAGAACACATTTATGTGGACAAGTATTTGTACTATGGGAATTTCACAAAGTAAAGAACATAGAAAAAACATGAAAACCTATCACTAAATAATAGATGAAGAAGACTTAAATCTTCAAAGAGATATGGTCATCCAAATATAAGAAACTCAAAGAACCCCAATTGCATTGAAAGAAAACAAATTTTCAATTAAAACTTGTAATATAATGCTAAAAGTACATGACTAGGAGAATCCTGAAATTTAGCAGGAGGAAAGCATCAAGTCATAGAAAAGGGAAAGCCCATTACACTTATAGCAGATCATTCAACAGAACAGCTATAGGTCAGCAGAGGGTAGGGTGGCATATGTAAAATATTGAGAGAAAAAAATAAAAATTCTGCCCACTAAGAATATTATACCCAACAAAATTATCCTTCAGAAACAAAGAGGAAACAGGTACTGGAGGAAATCACCATCATCAGATCAGCCTTACAAGAGACACTTAGGGAAGTCTTCTAAAAAACAAAAGTGTGATGACTACCAGCATGGAACCACTAACCTCCAGGCTGAGCAGATGGCTCAGTGATGAACAGCACTGTCCTCTTTCAGAGCATCTGCATTCAGTTCACAGAACCCACATGGGGCAGCTCACAAACACCTGTAACTCTAGCTCTAGGAGATCAGATGCCCTCTTCTGGCCTCCAAGGGCACTACATGTACACAGTACACATGCACACTCAGCCATACACACATAAACATAATAAATAAATGTATCTTTAAAACAAAAGCAACAACTAAAATCCCACAAATATTAAAAACTCAGTAGTAGAACACAGAAGAGCAGAAAATCAGACTTCAGTGTGACAGATCCACCAAACCACACAAATAACTATAAAGAGGTTAGAAAAGAATAATTCACAACAAAACCACCTGAAACCCAGAATATAACTCAATAAAATAAAGCAAAAATAAAAAGAGAAATTTCTCTTCTGTAAATAATAGCTATGAAGATAAATGGGTTAAATTCATCCACCAAAAGGCAGGGAATAGCGGAATGGGTTAAAAATGTGAGGATCAACTATACACTGCCTACAGGAAATTCACTTCACCAGTAAAGGTTTAGGATTGGAAAAGGATAGACAACAAATATGAAACAAGTCAGCAAGAGTCAATATATCATTAGAACATAGTAGATTTTAAATAAAAAAATGACAAAAGTCAAAGAAGCTCCTTGTATATTAGTGAAAGGATAAATTCAGCCAGAAAGCACAATATTCCTATATGTACCCATCTTGGCATTCCTTTATATTAGCCACAAAGGAAAAGATAGACTCTAATACAATACTTTTTGGGGATTTCACCTCTCCACTTTTGTCAGTGGGCAATGGTGAAAGTTTTAAAATCTTAAAACCATTGTTATTTTATGCGTATGAAAGTTTTGCCTGTTATGTATGCATGTGACTTCTGTCCTCTGAGTATAGGTGTCACACCTCCTGGAACTGGAGCTACAGATGGTTATGAGTTGCTGTGGGGTGTTAAGAACTTTGCCCCAGGTTCTCTGAATAGGCGGTAAGTGCTCTTAGCCACTGAGCTGCCTCCCCAGATCCTCAATAAGCAAACATCTTAGTTGAATCATATTGTAAAGTAAATGGACTTTACAGACATTTACAGAACATTTTACTGAGGCAGTATTCACATTCTTCTCATCAGCACTTGGAAACCTCCAGGACAAATCATCTGTTGTGCCAGAAATGAAGTCATAATAAACTTCAAAAACTTGAAATCCTATTATCTGCTTAGATTACAATAGATCAGAACTATGAACCACCAAGAGGAAAGTAAAGTACACAGCAGAAGTTAACCAATGGTACACCCATTGAAAGAGCTGGAAGGGAGACAAACACTTCTGAAACAAATGCAAACAACAACACACCAAACATGAGGACTGGATAGATCAGGAGAGTCACCAGCAAATGTCACGTCAAAACAACAGACACCTCACACATGGACCCCAATGGTTCACCTCAAGGGCACAGAGAAGCAAGAATACACTAACTCCAAAAGTGGGGGAAGGAAGGCAGATCAGAGTAGAAATTGAGACAAAACGTTTATGGAGTGGTATACAGACTGCTCTTAGGTCAAACCAACAACCTTCTTACTAGAAACGAGAAAATTCATCCTAAGTTTCATTCCTCCTTCTCTCTGTGAGCTCCTTTAACTCTGTGCTGGAGGCAGAACAGTTTGACTGACGCAAACACTCTGAGAAGACTAGAACATTCTGAGTTTGCTTCCTAAGACTGCCGGAGAGCACACTCACTAACTGGGGAGCCTCCCTGAGCTTGCAGGGACAAAAAACATGTTCCTATAATATAAGCCAGGGGCTTAGCCTTGACCAAGTCCTCAGCAATGGGGCTTCCAAGAGACTTATGGGAGAGAGTGATACTTTCAGCTCTTGACTGATATTTTACATTTTACAAACACAATGGCAGCCCTTTTATGTAACCTCATACTTGAAACACTCTTTAAGAACCGGGAAGAAGCCTGTTCAGAAATGAGTCCACTTATCACTTCTGTGATAATGAAAGCTCCTCCATGAGCCATGGCCGAGGGGAAGGCCAAGCTTATGGCTGAGCCTGCTTTCTGTGAGCTCTCCTCTGGTTCTAGCACTAAGGGACAAACAAGCTCATGGGATCAGCAAGGGGCAAGTCAGCTGGCCAACTCCTGGTCCCCGCCCAGAGTCACTGTGCTGACCTTTGAAGTGTGTCGGGTGGATGTAGCCTGTGGAAGTGAAGCATGGGAACATCCCACATTTGGCACATTTCCTGTACGGAAAGCAACTCTACAGGAAGACAGAGGAAGGCAGCTCACCTCTGAGTCCCTGTGAATTTCATGTGTTTGTGCTGTGAATGTGGAAGCTAAATTGAAGCACTGGCTGGTGTGAGTTCTCAGGACTGCTTTGTAGCTCACTTTCTTCTGTTGAGTCCTATGGATGACTCTCAGGCTCACATTTTTTACACACACTTATGATTACAGAATTCAGACCATCTAGAAACAGCCCCCCCCAGCTT